TATGCCATGCACATCTTGCATGGCAGGATGGAATACTTTTTGGGAACCTTTGATTGCAGTTAAATTTACAGTCATAGAATCACAGAAAATCAGGGTTGGAAGGGACCTCAGGAGGTCATTAGTCCAACTCCCTGCTCAAAGATGGACCATCCCCAACTAGATCATCCCAGCCAAGGCTGTCTAGCTGGGCCTTGAAAACCTCCAAGGATGGAGATTCCACAACCTGTTTGGGTAACGTGTTCCAGTGTTTTACTATCCTCCTAGCGAGGACATTCTTCCTAATATCCAAACTAAACTTCCCTTGCTGCAACTTGAGACCATTGTTCCTTGTTCTGTCATCTGCCACCAGTGAGAACAGTCTAGCTCTATCGTCTTTTGAACCCCCCTTCAGGAGTTGAAGGCTGCTATTAAATCCCCTCTCAGTCTTCTCTTCTGTAGACTAAATAAGCCCAGTTCCCTCAGACTGTCCTCATAACTCATGTGCCCCAGCCCCCTCACCATTTTCATTACCCTCTGCTGGACTCTCTCCAATTTGTCCAAACTCTTTCTGTCGTGAGAGGCCCAAAACTGAAAACAGCACTCCAGTTGTGGTCTTACTAGTGCTGAATGGAGGGGAATAATCGTTTCCCTTGCCCTGCTGGCAACACTCCTACCAATGCAGCCCAGTATACTGTTAGCCTACTTGGCAATAAGGGCACACTCTTGGCTCATATTCACCTTATTGTTCACTGTAATTCCCGGGTCCCTTTCTGGAGAGCTGCTGCCTAGCCAGTCAGCCCCCAGCTGATTATCCTCTCCTAAGTGCAGGACTTTGCACTCATCCTTGTTGAACCTCATGAAATTCCTTTTGACCCAATCCTTTAGTTTGTCTAGCTCACTCTGAATCCTAGCCCTGCCCTCCAGTGTATCTACTTCTTCCCACAGCTTGGTGTCATCTGCACACTTGCTGAGGGTAGAGGTGCAAAGATACATTGGATCGGCACTGATATAAGGAAAATTGACTGCATTGGCATTCAGCTTCTTTTGGCTGATGTGGCCAATAATGCCACTGATAAATGCCCCTGCATGTGCGCAGCGGCAATACAGCACACAGGCAGCCAGGAGCACAACAGTGAGGGTGGGACTGGGGCTGGAGCTGGGGCAGGCACTGCACAGCTGGGGCAGAGCAGGGGACGAAGCTGCAAACAGATCATCTGGAGGGTGTGGGGGGGATGGCTCCCACCGCTGTGTGCACCCCAGGAGGCATGGGGGGTATGTGCACCTGGATCTGCCCACGGGGTGAGGGAGAGCTGCTGCTGTGGGCTGGGGCTGTGCTGGGCTCTTCCTGATGTGGGGGCTAGGCTGGGCTACACTTGGGATGGGCGGTGGCAGTGCAGGGAGGAGGGTTGGAGGGGCTATGGTGAATTTTGGGGTGGCTGCAGCCCCCTTCCCCCCCCCTCTGTAGCCCCATCTCTCAGCACTGCCACTTCCCATCCCGACCACAGCCCCGGCCCAACCCCCCTCCAGGAAGAGCCAGGCACCACACTGCCCACAGCAGCAGCCTGCCTTTGCCCCGTGTGCAGATCTGGGGGCATGTGCTCCCCCCATGCTCTCCTGGGGTGCATGCAGTGGTGGGAGCCACTCCATCTCCACAAGCCTCAGACAAGCTGCTCGCTACTCCGTCTCGCACGCCGCCCCGGCTGTGCAGCCCCAGCCTCAGCCCTGCTCTTACCATGGGGGCTTTGACCTGCCTTCCCCTTCACTCTTGCCTCTTCCTGCACAGCAGACTTACCAGCACGATGCCACTCTCCAAGCTGCCCAACTGCATATCAGCAATCGGATTGGTATTGGCCGATACGGCTCGTTAAAAATCGACCATCAGTATTGGCTCAAAAATTCTCTGTTGGTGCACCTCTAGCTGAGAGTGCACACTATGCAATTTTTCAGGTAGTTGATGAAGATACTGAAAAAAAACGTTCTTAGGATCAACCCCTGGGGCACTCCACTTGATACTGGCTGCCACCTAGCCATCAAACCATTGATTACTACCCTCTGAGCCTGATGCTCCAGCCAGTTTTCTAACCATCTTACAGTCCATTCATTCAGTTCGTATTTTCTTAGTTTGCCTGCAAGAATGTTGTGGCAGACCGTATCAAAAGCCTTGTCTGGTTTCCCCACATCTGCAGAGCCAGTTATCTAATCATAGAAGGCAATCAGGTTGTCAGGCATGACTTTCCCTTGGTGAATCCATGCTCACTGTTCCTAATCACCTTATTCTTGTCCAAGTGCTTATAAATAGATTCCTTGAGGATCTGCTCCATGATTTTTCCAGAGGCTGAGGTGAGGTTGCCTGGTCTGTAGTTTCCTATATCCTCCTTTTTCTCTTTACTAAATATGGGCACTATGTTTGCCTTTTTCCAATCATCTGGGACCTCTCCTGGTAGCCATGAGTTTTGAAAGATGATGGCCAGTGGTTCTGCAATCACATCAGCCAACACCCTCGGCACCCTCACGTGATTTCCATCTGGCCCTATGGATTTGTATATGTCCAGTTTTTCTAAATGGTCCCTAACCTGTTCTTTCACCACTGTTGGCTGCTCACCTCCTCCCCAAACTGTACTGCCAGGTGCAGTAGTCTGGGAGCTGACATTTGCCTGTGAAGACTGAGGTGAAAAAGGCATCAAGCACTTCAGCTTTTTCTGCATTCTCTGTCACTAGGTTTCCTCCCCCATTTAGTAAGGGACTCACACTTTCCCTGATCTTCCTCTTGTTGCTGACATACTTGTAGAAGCCCTTCTTGTTACCCTTCACATTCCTTGCTAGCTGCAACTCCAGTTGCACTTTGCCCTTCCTGACTTCATCCCTGCATGCCCGAGCAATACTCTTATACTCCTGCCTAGTTTGTTATCCAAGTTTCCACTTCTTATAAGCTTCCTTTTTGTGATTTAGTTTACTGAAGATTTCTCTGCTAAGCCAAACTGGTCTTCTGCCGTATTGCTAGTTTTCCTGCACATCGGGATGATTTGTTCCTGCACTCTCAGTAAGGTTTCTTTGAAGTACAGTTAACTCTCCTGGACTCCTCTTCCCCTCAGACTGGCTTCCCAGGGGATCCTGCCCATGAGTTCCCTGAACAAGTCGAAGTCTGCTTTTCTGACTTTTTTCTGACTTTTCAGTCTCTTCAGTCCAATTGGGTTCACTGACTAGTTGTAATGGACTATGTTATGGACAATCTGATATAGTGGTTAGGCCAGCAGAGTCAGTCTGGAGACAGGGAAAGAATCTAAAATATAGGCCCAATATGTCCGGTATGGTAAATGTCCCTCCATTTTGTCAGTTTGCTCTTTTGAAGTTCAGCACCATAGGATAAGTCCATATAACACAAGGCTGTGCTGTACTGAGGTATGCTGAGTACACTTCACATCTTTTCATGAGCCTAAAGTGGTATAGCCACTTAAACATAGTGCTGTGACTCTCTGTACTGTGTCATTAAGCTTTGCTGAGGGCAGGTTACTACTTTCAAGTCAGAAGCCAGTGTGTCTGGAGTTGGTGCTGGCATGTCTCAGCATGGCAATGGCTTGAGCTCTGTGGACATACTCTTAGTTATAAACCTTTTTTATTCTTGCATTTAATTTAATCAGAATAAATTTATGATCACTTGATCCAAGGCCATTTTCTCTGACTAGCTCTTCTGCTTACCAAAGCAAAAGTGGTCCCCATTGCTTGCCTAAACCAAACCTTCTATATCATATCACCTCATGTTAATTCAGTGACTGTTTGTTAAAGAAGTCTTGCCTATCAGGAATATCTGGGCCCTACCATTATTACTAGCATTCATTTTCCAATCTATATCAAGCAAATTAGGGTTTGTCTACATGGAATAAATGCAGTGCCAGGTCGTGATACCTGAGCACTTCCTCTGAATGTTGGGTACCAGAAGGTGCATTAGTGTGGCACTCATTTCCTGACAGAGAAACAGAGGTGCTTCGTTCAGTCAGCATGCATATACTGTGTCTGGTACCTGAAGTAGTTTGGATATCTCTGCATGGATTGCATGACATACCTTTAAAGTTTCCTGAAGTGACATAATTTCTGGCAATATTTATCTCCTTAATAACATTACAGAAATCTCTATCCATATCCAAATCTAATCAGAGTTCATATAGCAGATTCCCAGTACCTCAGTAGCCCTCTATCCTTCTCCAAAGTGATTTTGACCCAAATAAAATCTTTTATCCATGCTATCCCTTCTTATTTCTGTCATATCATTAATGTTCAGTGCAAGTCAACCATCTTTATCTTTACGTATGTCTTTCTGAACTGTACATATGCTTCATGATTGCTCTTCTACCAAGTTTCTGTTATTCCTGTAATATCTGGTTTTGCATCCTGCACCGATAGCTTGAGTACCTCAACTTTGAAACAACTGGAATGGAAGAAGCTTGGACAACAGACGGACTACACCCTATTTCCTAGCTGTACCGAGACAGTACTTTTACTGCCTGCATCACATACCCAACTGCATTCATCATTAATGATACTTGTTTCCTTGCTGTTCATCAGCGTTTTCAGACTCTAGTGTTTCTTTATACAGTTCCATTTCATGAGTTTTTTTTCTGCCTGGGCACATCTACATGAGAGACTGACTGCACACTAGCCTAATAAGACTGTAGTAGCATGTCACAACATGGACAGTGTTAATATGCTACTGTACAGCATGTTAGGCTACTGCGCAGTAGCGTCACTTAAAAGTGCTAACTAAATGCGAAGTAATGGCTGTACAGTAGTGTCTTATGTAGAAGTGCCCCCTGTGTTTTAAAAGCACACATGGATAGTATACAAGTGTCTCCTGATTATAACTGTCCTAGGTAAAACATAAAGGCAAAATATATGGGTTTTTAATATTTACTTTTCTTGAGCACAACCTTACAAGTAAATTTTTATGATGGTTTTACAAAGCTGGTGGATATGTAAAAAATAAAAATACTTTTTTTTTCACAATTCTATATATTTTTTCTTTTCAGACGGACATTATCAACACTATGTGTGGATATAAAACTATTGACAAAGAGGTAACTAAAAGAAATTTCTATCACTTCGTTATAAAGAATCATGAGAGAGTATTCCTCTGACAAAGCAGCTGGTTTCTTTATGAATCACTCTTTTTCCTTTTGGGCTCCTGGTTCAACTTGCACAATGCTTTCATTTCAGACCAGGAAAAATACAGCCCAGTTTCTAGTACTGCATATTCAGTGCATAACGGAGTCATTCAGTAACGTTAATGCTCTGACTAGAGCTGGGGGAAAACCAAAGTTTCTTGTTTAAATAATAAAAAAGCTTTTCTTTTTATTCATACATCCCATTCTTATATCCTACAGTGGGTATAAAATATTGAAGACAAAATGTTGTAATAGTAGAGAAGAAATGGGGCATCCCTTATTTTTGTTGGCAAACTTCTAATGCTCTTCAATTGTAGAAGTGAGATTTGGCCTAAGCCTGTAGTTTCTCCTCTTTTCTGGGAGTTAGTCCCATTGACTTCAGTGTCATGGGCTTTGTGAGAACCAGGCATCCAAGTCTGGGCTTGCAGCTTGTAATAGTAGAGTGTATATTGCACAGAAGGCAATAATTTGATCTGCTGAGGGTCCATACAGCCCAGTTTTGTAGGAGTAGTTTTGGCAGGTAAATTGGCAATCAGCTGAAAGTCTCTGTTCCCCTTTTGTGTTAGACACCTAGTCACACAATGCCAATTTGAATGACATTTTTTTAGATTGGCAGTACTTCAAATATGATCTGTCACTTAGGCTCACTGGGCACCTATACACATGTTCCAATGACTTCTAATTAGAACACGTCAGAGCAGATTCAATAAATTGAGTCTGCTGCAATGTTTTAATCATGTGTTGCAGCATCTTGTGTATTCAGTTTCCCCACATTTCAAAATGGTGGTGGAAGTGCTTTAACTAAAGCTCATTCAATGCCTCCATTTTGAAATGTCGGATGCTGAATACAGGAGATGTTGTGGGCGTTTTAATTAGAGTGGCTCCCAAGAGCCACTCTAATTAAATCATCCATCCCCCACCCCCCAATCGTGGCGCACATGTAAAAATGCCAGTTGAGTCAAAGGTTGATTCTGCAAGATGCTAAACACTGTTCTGGTTCTGATCCATGGAGCACTGAAGCATATACTTTACTTGAAACTCACAAGTGGTACCAGCCATTTCAATGGGATCATTCACAGGCTTAACTGCTATGCTGTTTTGGGACTAGACGGGTCCAACACCTTTGAGGGTAAACTTTAAATTCTCTTTTCTCGAGTCTATGAGCCAGTTGCAAGACAGGATAGCAACTTGGCCATGGTTTGGATTTTTGCGCTGCAGCAGTTGCAGCCAGGAAGTACTCAGGAAGGTAGATAGATATCTCCTATATTTCATGGTATAAAATTGGGATCAGTTGTATTTCTTTTAGTAAACTTAATATTTTAGATGGTTGGTGATAAGGCCATTGCACCAAATTCATTGGGGTTGCAAGAGCGTGAATGAAGACAGAATTTGATGCTTTATATTCTAAAAAAACACTTTGGCATTCTTCTAATCAAACTGTTATATATTATATTATTTTATAGCGCCTGAGCATTCAACACGTTATATATGTTCGGGGATGCACAAATGCAGTACTCATTTGGTTCGTAGACAATTACAGCATCATGGCAGGTGTCTTGCTTGGTATATTGTTACCACAGGTAAGGCTAGGTCATTATGTATGTTGTTCATTAAAGGGAATGTTTAGCTCATGGTCTTGGTAGACAAAACGGTATTTGATTTGATAAGACTGTTTTTATTTAAAGTTCACATAACTTGGAAGCTGATGTGGGTGTTCCTTTGTGTCTTCACAGAGGCCCATTGATTTAGTAGCACAGTGTGATATGTTACATTTTTTCATAACCTTTGCCCACTAGTTTGCATCCATAAGACTTAGTCTAACATTCTGAATCCCAGGGTAATTTTCAACAGGCATAATTTATTTTCGACAGTGGGGGGTAAAGGAGGTGGTAGAAGATGTCACTAAAATCTCCTTCATTTCTCCACTTGTGAATTCTCCCTTCCAAAACTGCACTGACTTGAGGCTCTAACTTAAATTATGTGGGGGGTGGGGGGAGCGTGTGTGCGTGTGTGTGTGCACTTCTGTGTATTACAATAAAAAAATGTTGGATGAGGAACACATGGTCTCCTTTCATAAATGCTTTTTTATTTTACAGTTCTTAGGTGTGTTGTTGTCATTACTTTACATAACACGAGTAGAGGACATCATTGCCGAGCACAAGCTTAGTGCGGATGCTTCTGTTGCATTCCAGGAACAGTCAGAAGTTGAACGAGCAGGAACGGGTTGCTGTATGTGTTATCCTGGGAAACAGTAGTTGCCAAGCAAAAAAACTTAAGTAAAGTATAAACAAAGCCTTGTTTTGGTTTGTATCTGTTTCTGCAGATCTTACAGACCTTGGACATAAGCAGTGCTAAAGCCTTTTTGATATTTTTAAAAACAATGCATCAAAAGCAGAAGCCAAACTTCTCCACCCTGTGGTCTTAATTGATTTTCCACTGTGTTTCAGTGCTGAGTATGCTTTGAATTTTCACAGGATCTTTCAGGCAGTCTACTGTGGGGTGTTTCAGACTCTTAGGAGTGCTAGATCTCATCAGACCAAAAAGTGGACCAGGTGTTTTCCAGAAGCGGAAGAATTGCTACTGGACACTATAACCAGCTCAGTTCAGCCACACATTTTGTTGCACTAGTCAGCTACTACCATAAGTGACTGCCTGCCTATAACACAAGTTTTGTATCTACTCTTCTTTCCGTGTTTTGCCTCCAAGGAAACAAGTGGTCTCCTACAGCACAATCCCAGGAGCCAACCCTGCTTGAAAATTGTTAACTAAACTTGTTTTTTAAATGATTACTGAAGGAACTGTGATAAGAGACATTTTCTGTTGGGGAAAACTCAGAAGTAAACTTCTTTTAAAAGAGAGCTTTTGTTTCTTAACTGGTCATATTTAAATGTTTGTCCTTTCAGATATATTTTCATATTGATTCCTAAACAAAAGGGAGACTTATGTGTGCTTATATTTTGAATCAAATGGCAGATATTAAATAGACATTTAAAAATTTTAAGCTGGTCCTGACTGACAAACTGATATAACTGTGTGTATCTTTTGTGCCTTTTAATAATTGGGTGTATGCCAATGTTTGAATGTCAGGTAATGCTTTGATAAACTTTTTATGCAATTTATTACTGTACAGATTTTTATGGCAGCTGCTAGATACTGGATTAATTTGAATCTTGTATGTATATGTATTTTTCCCTCCATAAATTATCTAGATTGCCTATTGATTTTTGGAGTTCTATTATGTTCATATATTTCATTTTCAAATGTGATTGTGCTCACAAAAAATAAGTGTTGTTAATTTTTTTTAAAAAAGCAAATACTTTAAATATGTTTCATTCTGAATTTTACTGATAATATATTCAGTCATGAATCTTAATGGATTATAAATCCTCTCCTAAATCTGTTTTTCATGAATTTTCAGGCAAGCACACAGCAGTTCAAATATTTTTCTGCTGCTGCAGGGCTAGAGCTTCTAATATAGTTTCATATTTAGAGACCTTCAGTACAGAGACTTCTAAACATGAAAAAAACCACGAGTATTTTCCTGAAAACAGTATACAGGTTTCCTCATTTTATGCGGGTTCTGTATGTGTGAATTTGCTCTTATGTGATGACCCTTTTTATACCAAAAATTGGTTATATGCGAGGTAAATTCACTCTTATGCGATCGGCATGGTGGAAGCCCACAGTCAGCTGCTTTGTGTGGTGGATTGTGAGAGTGACGTGCACCAAAATATAGTCTCCTGTGTGGATCTGTGCTCTTCACTTGTTGTCTGTGACATGTGTTTCTGTAGTTGCCATCCCCATTATGATAGTGCCCTGTGCTTGTGTGTACTGTTGGGGAGTACCAAAATTGTCTTGTGAAAGTGGTAGAATGGGTCTGGAGGTCAGTACAGTTGATGTCGTGGAATGCATCCCTATTTGTTACATTGTAAAGTAAGTTCCCTTTATGCGAATTTGAGTTATGCACCATTTTCCAGGAATGTATGTACAGCATAAAGTGAGGGAAACCTGTATACACCATGTAAAGATTTTCTTATTGGGGAATATCTTATCCTCTTCTGCCCCAATTTCAACTGTTGCCTGTAGGACAGAAGCCCATTCTTTCTTTCCTTCCTACATATACCCATGTCTTTGTCCTTATCCTATATTTTTTACTCTAGAAAGGAGTAGTCTAGTGGTCTGAGCAGGACTGAAACCAAAAAGACCTTAATTCTAAGCTTGCCTTTGACACTGCTTTGCCCTGTGGTCTCTCTAAGTCAAATTCACTTAACTTCTGAGCCTTAATTTTTCCTTCCTTCTGTAAAATGGACACAATAATTCTTGGGGGTCACTGTGAGGACTAATCTAGATTTGGACCAAGCATTCTCTGCAGCATTTCCAGTCCCAGCTGGACTCATTGGCAATAGAGAAGAGAATTGCTGTGGTGACACAAATAAATGCCAAGTTTCAGACCAATAAACTTTTTTTGCTTTCTGGTACCATGTCATGTTTGCACTGCCTTCATGAACCTTCATTTTCTGAAACTAATAATCAACTCAAGAAAAAAAGCACACTCAACTTAAGGAATCATGCACACAGTACTTAACCAGAGAGAGACATCTACTAGGGGTGTGCAAAGTGGGCCCTATTCAATTTGGAGTCAGTGATTTGATTTGTTGATTTGGATCACTGTCCCTGATTTGACTCAGCCAAATCAGAATCTGAAGATTTGATGCTGATTCGGAGAATCAGCGATTGGACATAGACACAGCTTTAAATGTTTTTTCTACATACCTCAAGGTACCAGGCATGGCTCATGAATGCTGCGATGCTGGGGCGGATGGAGCGTCCCACAGGTGGGACACGTGCTCGGTGGCAAACCCCGCATTGGACCAGAAGTACTTCTGATCCATTTCCGGGTCTGCCAGGGAACGTGCTGGCTGGGGGGGTCCCCCATGCACCCTCGGCTCAACGATCGGCCACAGAGAGACCCCGGGTGCCCCCCAGACCTAGGAGGCACCAGTCACCAAGCTGGGAGGGGTGTGGGGGGGCCTGGTGCACTCCCCGCCATGCTCCCGGCAGACCTAGAAGTGAACCGAAAATGCTTCTGGTCCACTTCTGGGTCTACTGCCAAGCATGCTGGGAGCTCCCCGCGCTCCTGTGGGACACTCCATCCACCCCAGCATTGCAGCATTCATGAGCCGCCTGGTACCTAGATGTATGTAGAAAAAAACATTTAAAGCTGTGTCTATGTTTGAATCCCCAACTCTTTCCACATCTCTCTGAATCAATTCAGAGGGTTCCGATTTGATTTGGAGAGATTAAAGGGTCCTCTGATTCGATTCGGATTCAGAATTTTGGTCACCTAATTGGGCAGAATCTCTGCTGAATCGAATCAGGGACCAAAGCTTCACACAGCCCTAATATGTACACATAGGCACTTTTTAAAACATATTTAAAATTTGAGCCTCTGGTGTTCTTCCTGGCTGGAAACAGACACCAGCAAGTTTTTACTGTGGCACAAAGTGACAGCAAATAGACATGCATACCTCTTGCCATACCAAACAGCTGATTGGCGGCCCTAGCCCTGGACTGCACCAGTGTGTGCTGGCTTTCCCTGTTTCCAGAGACCTGCACCCCAGGATCTCTGGGGCACATCTCTGGAAGCAGGATAAGTCAAGGTTCCCTGCTTGCACAGCCACACCCTTTGCAATCTCCAGAAACCCTGGAGATTACCGCAGATGCCTCTGGAACCTGGGAACGTGTCACCTGTTGTCCTGCAAAATCAACAGGTGGTACACTGAGTAACATAGAAAGCTGGCTGGATTATTGGGCTCAATGGGTAGTAATGACTCAATGTCTATCTGGCAGCTGGTATCAAGTGGTGTACCCCAGGGGTTGGTCCTGGGGCTGGTTTTGTTCACTATCTTCATTAACTATCTGGAAGATGGGATCAATTGCACCCTCAG